CCGCACTATCGAAGTCCTGCCCATACACCCAACCGACTCAACTGCAAGCAGGGCTCAGCTGTCAATCATGACATTAAACCCCCTTTTCATAGCTTCAAATAACTAATTATAACTGATCAGAAAAATGAACACTTGAATATACATCAGCATGATAAGAACTACCTAAAATTTTGGTGGGGGGAGAACTGGCAGATCCTTTGACCTCTCACCTCAAGATGTCTGAATGAAAACAGTTTGGGTACCCGCAAGTCTCCCCTTTACAGACGTGCCCAATTTATGCTAATCCCATGCAGGTTTTATTATTTGGGCAACAACTATGCCTTACCTGTTTTTTACATGCAGTATAAATGTGTTATTTTCACCTATTCTAAAAATCCCTATATTGTGAGCTCTGGGCATCACAGCATGATGAGACTTTACAGCTACAACGTTAAAAACCTAGGGCATTCAGAGGATGTGTGGCTTTCCTAGGTATATTGATAATAAGGGGGTTTCTGAGCAATTTCCAGAACTCACCATCCAACCACTGAAAAATACAAAAATTACTTTTTACTTCTTTTTTTGATACAAAATCACTGCATGATTTTTATTATGATCTTCCTCAAGGTCTCTTAATATGGTATATTGGAGGGATTTAAACCATTTTGCACCAGGTCTGTGTAACAAATGGTATCAACACAGAAATTGCTATAACAACTTATGAGACACAATTGTCTGTCATAATGGTCTAAGCCCTTATACGCTTTAAACTTTAAAAATTGGAATATGCACCTAACAAAAAAACACAATGCTATTACAGATTTATGGCTAGGAAAACCTGACGCACAGCACTGAATCTCCAGGTTCCCAACTTTTAGATGATGTATACTACTTCTATGTGGCATATACTGGCTATCTAACATTAAAAATCCCCTGCCCCCTCCTAACAAATACAAAAATGGGTCTGTGGTAGGGAGAGGTGGAGTGGAAGAGGTTAAACCAACGTAATTTAAAACTTTACTGAAGGATAATTTTGTTATTATGATCGTACAGTCCATTATATAAGTGAATTCAGTCATTTCCTACAAATAGGCTTAGATAAACAGTACACTGCCAGTCCAGTGTGACAGTATGAGATTACAAAAAATCTTATAAAAGGTTTTTATCCAACTGTTGTATATAATTGAGCCTTGAACTGTAAATAAAAAAGCTCACAAGAATAATCACATGGAATAGAAAGTGCTAAGATCTCTTAAGAACTTCAGAACTGTCTTCAGAACTGCTTTAATTTGATGTAATGTGGAGATAAATTGTAGACTCATTAACACATTAGAGACACATTGGTGCCGATTGCTACTTCATATGTAGTGATTTTGCGTTCAGATGTGCCTGAGACCTGACACCTCACATACAGGTGTCAGGCAGCCTTTTACTGTATGTGCATTAAGTGCCGCTGTGTACAAGTGAGTCTGTGGTTACATATGGATTGGTTATATGAAGAAGGAATCAGTATAGTACTTTATGGAGCCATAACCTTCTTTAAAGACAGTGGGTAAAGAGGACTGGTCTGAACCTGCTCATTTTTTTTTAGGTTGGACAGCCACTCGTAAAAGAAACGACTAACAAACGAACTCCTGGTGTGCCTGCCAGACTACACGCTTGCTGTCAGCTGTAAAATACGACCATGCTGCTTCCCTTTTTCTCCCTTTACTCTCTGCCCTTTTGACCCCTTCTCATTTCTTTTTTTCTCTCTCCTTTCCCTTATCTTTTGCTCCATTCTTC